AAAAGTAGTATAGAACCTAATTTACAGAGTTTAAGATCCTAATCATCCAATAAATATTATTTATAATATTATTCATATTATTCATAATAGTAATCGATCACAAATATATAGTTTATTAGAGATACGTAAGATTCACTGTGTCTATTAGATGTAATTATTTCACCCAGCAAATCCGACCTTTATCAATTTATGGAATTTTTGTTGTGGGAGTTCTAAAATTAATATGAATAAATGCTTAATTTGTTTATATGACCAAGAAAAATTTATTTAAATATATTGCTTCTTTTTTTCATGGCCTTATTTCTTAATTATTTCCAATATTTTCTTATCGAAATAATTTTTAATTCTTTTTATTTTTTTTCATGCTGTATTTTTGGGCCTTAGGTGGAATACAATCGGAAATACAGTCGGGTATTGTGCGCTATTAAGTTTGTACCTATTCTGTGGTCGTTAAACATGGAATAGGTGCACGTGCTTAACCCTCACGGAAATTAATTTAAAATTGCAAAATTAATAGACATTACCAAAGTCTCCAGTTTGTTGGTTTATTAGTGCCTTTTACTAAGCTTGGTTTTAATACCTAATCAGATTATATGTTCAGAATCCTTTCATCGATCAACTACAGCATTGCTTAATTTTGCGAGTAATTTTATTACTCATTGATTAGAACTATTCATACACTTGCTTATCTCTGCTGACAAAGGAAATAGCTATTAATATATACACCTGTATATTCTTACTGCATATACTCAGGAATTTACAACTTCTATAGAAAAATTCTATCACCCAAGAGTATTCTAATATACCAGTATACTACGAAGTAAAAAAATTATTTTTTTCCTACTTAAAATTAAATTAATATGTAAAATACCTCATAAAAGAAAATGTCATAGAAAACGTAATGTCTTTGTATCTTGAAGCTTTTACCTTTAATATACATTCAAATTTATTACTTAGAAACGCGATGGGAACTGCATTACTAATTTTACAACACAGTGATACCGAAAGACATTGCCTTATCATACAAAAAGTAAGTTTAATACCACACACACACACCACACAAGAGAAATTTGTAATAGCTTTTTAATGATATTTACTATTGACCTAAGGCTTATGGATATATCTGCAATTAAAGTCGTAAAACCATGGTATCAGAATGATACCGTCTTCCGTTGGCTGGATAACAAAAACTATGAAATCGGTGTGGAATGCAACAAGTTGGTCGAAAACTTTGTGAGCAACGTAAGTTCAAATTATGTGGGTTTCTATATGAAGTATGTATGTATGTATAAGTATGTATGAATGTACGTATATATGTATGTACATAGATATATTGTATCTATGATAAAAACTGAAAAAAAGTGCAAATATGTATTTTGCTTTGAGTGCTTGAAGTACTTGATGTTGTGTGTCTACTCGGTGTCGTAATGAAATTCAAAATTCATTAGATTGTGCAACGTAAACACGCTGAGTGGAAACAGAAAATGCAGTCAAATAACGCAAATAGGACATCATCTGGTGACGAAGATGTTAAATATAGTGGAATGGATGGTGGAGATGATGCTGAATTTGATGCTACTGCCATGGATAATATGGTTGGGAAAAAACGCATTTTCATTGAGCAAATATTTCACTTAGAACAACTTGGCGAATTAACGCTTCGGGACATAATGAACGAATCCCATTCAATGATGTTGGTGGTAAGTGAAAGACAAATTTGGCAAATTTGTGATTTATGTATGTAGCAAGATTCCAATTAATTGACATATGATGTAGAATCATTGTAATTTGAAACGATTCAGTGGTAATTGATTTAAGAAAATATATTTAAGAACATTAACAGGGATATTTTTTTTGCTATCGGAATGGGTTTTCACCTCATCAGCTCTGTTTTGACTGAAATGCTTATGTTAATTATAAAGAGCTCAATTAATTATCTTTGCAACGTAAAAATAAATATGTTCTGTAAATAGTGTCTACTATTTAGAGAGCCTGAGATATGGCCTAAAGGTTCAGTTAGGCTGTACGTAACGTAAGAATTGAAGCGAACTTAAGCCAAACTTAAGACATGCATAATCAACTATACCTGTGTATTTAATAGAAGCGAAATAAACAAAGTTCTCAGCTTTTATTTATTTCATTCTTGTCAAATACACAGTTGTGGATGGTTGTGCATTTCGCTTTGACTTAAGTTCTTACGGAACGTACCGTCTAATTTAGTCTTAAGTCATAATTAAAAAAAATAAAATAAAGGTGAATATTATATAATAAAAAAATATAATCAAAAAATTTAATGAAAAAAAATATAATACAAGATATAATAAAAAAGTAATATAATTAAATAAGATAAATGATAAAACATTATAAAATAATTGATGGAAATTCATTTCTTTAAAAATTTCATAAGATATAGACATAGGTATTGTTAACAAAAAAAATGAAATCACAAAAAAATTTTAGAGAAATAGAAGATCATCAGAAGTCAGTTTTTGTGAAAATCTGTTTAGCTTATTACATAATTATCCATATATGACCCATATTTTTCACTATGAAGTTCCTAAAAATAATTATTGTTGAATAAATAAATTTTCAATGCTGTTGCTGTGTACCGACTTATCTTTAGTTTTAATGTGGACACAGGTTTTAGACCTCATTGCTGGAGTAGAACCCTTTTCTTAAATAATCTTTTGTGATTTGTGAGCAGGTATTAATTAGTGTGGGACAAATCTGTTAAATATAATTAATAAAAAAGTTATTTGTGGCGTAATTCAATTTGGTCACCGTAATCAACGACTTTTTATATAGTAAAATGTATATTCTCATTAGTTTTTCTTCAAATGTATGAAGAAAGCTATATGTTATAGTCTTTACTTTTTAATATACAGAAGTCATAACTATATGGGGAAAAATTTGCATTCAGACATTCTTGATCTACTTTAAACTAATCAGTTAAATTTCATTTCGATTTCAGTGTATATCGATTCGACATACTATGTTTACTTAAAAAGCTCCAGATCATTTTAGAATAATTAATACGTTGCAAACGTGCTATACTCTTCAAACAAGTCTACTGGAGCTTCGAATGTCTGTACAAATTATTGTTTGTAGGTATATTGCTCTGATCTCTTTTAAATGTTATGAAAATTTCTATACTTTACTCTCCGGTTCGTTGTCATTTTAATGTTTATTCAGCAGTATCTTGGGCGTCTGGAATTATTTTTGTTTGCATGACTACGTTTCAGTCCAGTATACTTTGTTAAAATAGTTAATTTAAATACAGCTGAGTCACTTTTATATTCTTTAGTGTTGGTATGGTATTGATACGTTAGCATTGTATACTTCCTTATTAAAAGTGCTTAATCAACATGCATATGAATCTACATATATAGTTTATATAGGATCCAATCCCAGTTGTATGATGTCACAAACATTTTGATAAACTTAATATATCTTTTATTTACAAACTGTAGCAAAATGGTATAACGTGATTTTAATTAAACAATTTAATTTAATTTTTTATAAAAATTTAAAGTAATCAAAGTGTTTCTGTATGATGAAAAAACAGAAAATTAAAATATTCATTAAATATTTTAACATTTTTTTCGCAGTCATTTGAGACAGTTTCAAACGGATTAATGATTCTGCTGATGTGTTTGGCAATCCATTTGGATTATCAGAAAAAATTACGTGAAGAAATCAATGAAACTTATCCTGATGGAAATATTGCAGATATTACAATAACGCAATTGCAGCAATTGAAATATCTGGATATGGTTGTGCATGAATCATTGCGGCTCTTGACAACGGTTCCCATGAATATGCGGAATGTAAGTTCTGACTTTAAGATGCATTTGCCTGCTAAAGACAACAGGGGTGCAATAACAGCGCTGGTACCAAAGAATACATTGGTTGTATTAGACGTTTTCAATATGCAACGTGACGAAGCCCATTGGGGACCGAATGCAAAAAAATTTGATCCTGAACACTTTGCCGAATCAAAGTCGGAACGGCATCCTTACGCTTTTATACCTTTCTCCAAAGGTACACGTAGTTGTATTGGTAAGTACTTAAAATCTCAAATGAACAAAAAAATAAACAATATCTTAAATAATTTAATTTTTTCTCTTTTTTTTATTCAATTGTGATTCAGGTTGGCGTTACAGTTTGTTACTGACGAAGATTTTTCTTGTGAAATTAATTTCTTCTTTCGAATTCCAATGCCCAGGAACAAAACTTGAAGATTTACATTTTACTGAGGGCATTTCATTGAAATTTCATGACAGTCAGAAAATTAAGTTTCAAATAAGAAAAATACCTTGAATATTATTTTATTTAATAATCTTAGATGTTTTAGATTTAATTAAATTAAATTAATTGGAATGAATATAATTTGTAAATGATACAAGTCATCCATCATTATGTCATAATTATTCTAAAATCATTATTTTTACTTATAGTTTTTGGTATATAATTACTATATTTACCACAATGAGTACATTTTTAATTATTTTTAAATATGTTTAAACTCAAAAATATTTTGTATTATTTATTGCAAACTTATTTGGAAGATTATGTTACGGTGTTTTATTATTAATTTAATTATAAAATTCTAATATAAGATTTATGTTCACACAAATATTAAATTTTGATTTAAATATAAAAATATTTAATAAAAATATTTATACAAAATATTAAAAAAATATTATGTGCAATCAAAGGCCAAAAGTTTATGTAGTGCTATATAAAAAATATCTACACATTATAAATAATTTCATCAGTTTCTTTCAAGCCCTGTTGTGGGTATAGAACACATGTGGGTATATTGAAAAGGTTGATATTGATACTCTATATCACAAGATGTGAGTATTATGTTATATATTCTATTATATTAAGTTATCTAGCATATATGGTATATGTATTTTATTTATAATTTATTTTCAATGTATCCAATTTCAGTAAAATAATGTCTTTTACCATTGTAACTTATTTCTAAAATCTGTTCTTGGTTATTTAATACTAACTTAGACAACCTCTAGATGGATTAAATTTTTATGTACATTTGTTAAAGGCATCTTATGGGAGGTAAGTTAGGTTAGATTAATACAGGTTACAGTTGGTCACACATAGACTCCTCAGTTCCTAGCCAAACTGCTTAATTTTTTTGAGTCATCTTAGTTTTGGGTTAGTTGTGTCAGAGATTTCTCGGACTAGTAATTTTATGTTCGGTGATGTAAATTAGCTGACAAGATCAAGCTATTTGTCATCACTGCTTTTTTTTGGGGGTTCCGTAAAGGATCGTGTTTATGTAAACAGTTCTCAAACTCTATACGCTTATGTTTTAAAAATCACTTTATTCAAGTTGTAGTCTAGCTATTGCTACCAAAATATGTTTAACTCACCAAAATTCGCTTCAAAAGGATTGAATGCTGTAAGATTTTTCCGTAGAACTTCTTTATGAAGTTATGCAAAAGCACGTGTTTAAGCAGACAATTCTCAAAATATTTACCCCGCTGCTTTTTGAAACACAATTTTGTTTAAGTTTAAGTTGAACTGTTGCCTACTAAATACGTATAAGACGTCGAAAATTGCTTTGAAAGGATCAAGTACTGTAAGATATCCCCACAGAACTTTTTATTAGTTTCACCAAAGGATCTAGTTAATGAAGACAATCCCCAATTAACTGTATACTAACACTGTAAAAATAAGTTTTCTTTACGTTATAATTGAGCATTTGAAGTTTGAAGAAAATTGCTTTGAAATGATCAAATACTGTAACATATTTCCTCAAGACTTATTTGAGGTGTTAAGCAAAGTATCATGTAAATACAGACAATCTTCAAATACTCTGCGTTGTGAATTTAAAAATAAATTTTTAATTATAGTCGAGCTATTTATTGTCAACTAACTGTATACAAATTACTTCGAAAGGATCAAGTACTATAAGATATACTTTGGAAGGCATTGGAATAATACCGTATTTCACATCTATAGGTAGGGTCCTAATAACGTGTTGAAATAAATATTTGATCATAATCTCATTTGAACGTGTCGTTTACATACTTTACTTTTGAAAGCACAAAATGAATAACCCTGTAATATTAAAGTGCAGTGATCCAACAAGCTAATGTAAATGAACTAGTGGGTTGTTGATGTGCATGTTTAGCATAATAATTCAGTAAATTATTACCAACTCATAGAGAAAAAATATTTTTAAAAATTGTTAGAGACGATACTTTATACTACAAATTATAAAACTTTTAACTGAAGAACAAAAAATTAAAAAAAAAGATGAAAACTAAATGAAAGAAGAGACATTGAATAGTGTTTTAATTTTACTAAATTAACAAAATTTTTGATATAAAAATATGAGAATTAAAATAAATCTAAAAGATTTAGTATGAATGAATATGTATTTTTAAAAAAAGCAATTATTTTTCATTTCCTTTATGCTGTTCTCTCACTGCTTTTAGTATATAAATTTAGCATGCTAATCAGAATATAATATAATATAAAATTAAATTTTAAACTTTATTTTTTCGCTTGTAAAATTCATAAATCGTTAAGGATTTACATACTTATGCATTTTTCATTTTTCTTCTTTAATAATTTCTTTCTTGCCATAAACTTGAGCGGATATTGCATTAAACGAGCATAGGAACAAATTGCAAAAGTTCATATCCTTACACGAACACGAACACGAACACGAACATAAAAATGTAAACACTTACACTATTAAAGCTCCTCACAATAAGTGAAACAAGTTTGTAAGTTGGTTTTAGTGTCATGTTTGACTTAACATTTCATATTGTTGTTGTTGTATTTTTTGTAGGTGGTGGTATTGCTGTTGTTGTTGTATTTGTATGTAATAGTGTAAATCCTGTTATGCTGTATTGCTGATGTTACTGATGATGTTGTTGCTGTTATTTTAGCTGTTATTATTGTTTTTATTTCCACTTCAGTTGAAGTACTTTTAAGAGTATCCGGAGTACATTTAAGGAATTAAGTGGTACTCAAATCCTTGCATTTTCAAACGAATACCAAAACGAATCATACATGAACAGTGAAAGATTTTAAACAACTTTTATAATTTTGTTTCACTATGTTTGCACTTGAATTTAAAATAACAAAAATTTACAAAAGTTTGTTTAGTTGGGAATATACCCTAAAGTAAAATTATTGTTAAATTGTGAGATAAAGATAAAGTTTTCCTTCCTTGTTAATTTAATTGAAATAAAAACAAAAATTATTAAATATAGGAAATACTTTTTCTTGATAATATTTTAATGAAAAATGTTATCGTTGTCGTGTCAAAATAGCAACAATTTTTTACGTCCATGTGACTCGAGAAGTAACTTTAGTATGACTTTCTCAGTATTACGTTCCTAGATTAGGTTCTATATATAAGAAAGAATATATAAATGATGCAACAAATAATGCCTCTACAAACAGAATATTATAGAAATTTAATAATTAATAATTATTAATAATAAATAAAATAAAAATAGTATTAATTAATTCAATTATTTTATAGCTGGTTTATGATTCCGTTCTAATATAAACACAGCAAGTGAATTTCTTAATAAATGCTTTCACAGTAAAGAAATAAACGGCTTTGGGTCAGTTGTTTAAGGAGCGCTGACTCTGAGCTTCAAATGAGAGTACAAGTTCAATGCCTAGTACTTTTACTCACAAAAAAATTATTTACGAATAATTAAACACAAGAAATATTTCCAAGACCACTGTTGATGGATATTTGGCAATTGCCAAAAATTCAATTAATTAAAATAATATAAAATGAATTTTTGTTGTTGTAGTTAACTACTGTTCAAATAAGCTCTTTAACAATTTTTCAGTAAATATGTCAGTAAAATGTCGAACAACAATCCCACACAGGATTATATCTATCAAATACAGGACATGGTAAGACTGATGTGTAAAAGTAGCAATCATTATTACAGTCAAATATATCCTTTACGTGTAAATTAGTTTAGAATTGTTTTTATATCTTCATCTAGATGAAGTTAACACTTGATGAAGGAAACTTTAAGTGAACTTTATTCCTACATCACATACTTGCAGCAAAATATTGGCCATGAAAATTGTATCGAGTTGTTTCACTGAGTTCCACTGAACTAAGATGCTCTGTAATTACAATTTAAGCGTTTACACTTTGGGAAACTTGCACATTTCATAGCTGAAAGTAATCAAAAGTGTCTTTTTCTGTTTCTTCTGCTCTAAAAATTTTCTGAAGTGTTTATAAGTGGAAAAGTTTATCTTAGAAATTCAAGCAAAGGAAGTAATGAAAATAAATGAGTTGCTCTTAGAAAAACAATATTAAACTTTTGTTCTACGATAACTACGATATGTGCTTGTGTAGATGTTATATTTTGTTATTCTGTTATCTACATTCAAGAAATAAAAATGTATGTAATGCAATATTGATCCAATTATTGACATTCTAAGTAATGTCATTATTAATATCATAAAGTTTTATATGTGATTAAGATATATTTATGTACTATTCATAATACAATGAAAAATATATATTTATGAAATCTTGAAGGTTAAAGAGGAAACTTACCAAGGAAGAAGTAGATACGAAATATTTACTTATTCATTTTACTTTTATAGTATATGTACTACTAATCAGAATCAATTATTTACCAATAATTACCAATTTTTTAAATTTATTTTAAGTAATTGTGAAACATGTGAAGTAAGTAGTTTTTATTTATCGATGTTAACTAGTCATTCTAAGCTCGTCTGTTAGAAGAGCAAAAACGCATCTGGAAGTGTTTGTGTAAGAAATCATTCACAAGTTATAACTATTCATTAATAATCTTAAATACAAATTCGATAAATTTTTTAACTCATTTATAAAGAACGAAAAATTATTTTGATAGTTATTTTCTATTATTACTATATGCTAAATTTGATAGGTATTTGTAGAATAAAAATAAATCAGGGACATTTTTTAATTTGTTATTAAGTATTTAGCCCGTCACGATTGAATCTCTAATTTCACTCTCATTAGTGATATAAATATATATCACTAAATCTGATATATATTTATTTACTGATATGTATTTTTAAGATCTTCATGATTGCTTAAGAAACAAATGTAATGTAAGCTGTTCAACTTTTTTTTGGTTGCTCTTTTAGAACTTTCAATATGGTTATATAGCTTCATAAACTTTTTTGAGAACGTTCGAGTTTTCGTAGAGAAGTGAGTTTGCAATTTATAATTTACTGAGTAATTAATCAATTTTATCAACATATTTCTTTAGAATTTGGGATATTAATTTAACACTATTATCTTATTT